TTGGATCCCTTTTATTTTTTCTTCCTGTCTGATTGCTGTGGCTAAGACTTCCAGTACTATGTTAAATAAGAGTGGTAAAAGTGAGCATCCTTGTCTTGTTCCTGTTCTTAAGGGAAATGCTTTTAATTTTTGCCCATTGAGTATGATGTTGGCTGTAGGTCTTTCATATGTGGCCTTTATTATGTCGAGATATGCTCCCTCTATTCCCACATTGCTGAGCGTTTTTATCAGAAATGGATGCTGGATTTTGTTGACCACAGTTTTTTATACACTCATCTAATGATGGACACTTGGGTTGTTTCCAGATCTTAGCTATTGTAAATAGTGCTGCTATGAACATAGGGGTACATATATTCTTTCTGATTGGTGTTTCAGGCTTCTTAGGGTATATCCCTAAAAGTGGAATCACTGGGTCAAATGGCAGTTCAATTTTTAACTTTTTGAGGTAACACTATAGTGTTTTCCATAGTGGTTGAACCAATCTGGTCTATTTTTTAAGTTGTTTTCTTATTGTTGTGTTTTAAGAGTTCTTTCATATTTTGGATAGCAGTTATTTATCAAATAAGTGTTTTGCAATTATTTTCTCCTAGTCTGTCATTTGTCTTTTATTCTCTTGACAGTATCTTTTACAGAGCAGAATTTTTTTTTTTTTTTTTTGTATATGCCCCTAGTGGGAACCGAACCTGGGACTCTCTGGTCTGCAGGCCAACGCTCCAACCTCTGAGCCAAATCGGCCAGGGCAGAAATAATTTTTTTAATTTTTTTTTTTTCTCACCTGAGGACATTTTTTATTCATCTTCAGATAGAGGAGGAAGGAGAGAGGGAGGAAGGGAGAGAGAGAAACATCAATGTGAGCGAGACACATCGAGTGGTTGCCACCTACACGACCTCAACCGGGCGTTAACAAACCGCAACTGAGGTACTTGCCCTTAGCAGGAACCACATCCAGGACTCTCTGGTCCACGAGCTAATGCTCTAACCGCTGAGCGAAACCGGCCAGGGCCAGAGCAGAAATTTTTAAAAACTTATGTTTATTGTTGAATGTACTACAGATGTTCCTCCTTCTTCCCCTACTGACCCCCTCCTCCCTGCTCCTGCCCTCCTCCTGCCTTTCTTCACACTGTTTTCTGTGTCCATTGGCCTTGCATATATGGATATAAGTTCTTTGGTTTATTTCCTTCTACTCCCCCCTCCCTTTGAGGTTTGTCAGTCTAACAACAATTTGTATTTCTTAATCCCTTCATCTTTTTTACCCATTCCCCCAACCCTCCTCCATCTGGCAACCAACAAAATGTTCTCTGTATCTATGAGTTTGTTTCTGTTCTGCTTGCTCATTTTGTTTGTAGATTCAGTTGCCGATAGATAATGTATTTATCACCATTTTATTGTTCATATTTTTTATCTTTTTCTTCAAGGAGACCATTCCACATTTCATATACTACCTGTTTGGTGGTGATGAACTCCTTTAGCTTTTTCTTGTCTGGGAAACTCTTTATATGTCCATCGATTCTAAATGATAGCTTTGCAGGGTAGAATAATCTTGGCTGTTGATTCTTCCTTTTAATCACTCTGAATTTTTCTTGCCACTCCCTTCTGGCCTGCAAAGTTTCTTTTGAGAAATCAGCTGACAGTCTTATGGGAGCTCCCTTGTGGGTAACTAACTGCTTTTCTCTTGCTAAGTTTTTTTTAACTTTATTGTTGAATGTATCACAGATGTCCCTTTTTCCCCTTTTTGACCCCCTCCTCCCTGATCCTGCCCCCGTCCTGCTTTCCCAACACTATTGTCTGTGTCTGTTGGTTATGCATATATGCATATAAGTTCTTTGGTTTCTCTCTTCCCGCCCCACCTCCTCCTTCCCTTTGAAGTTCATCAGTCTGACAACCAATTTGTACTTCCTAATCCCTTCATCTTTTTCACCCAACTCCCCTTTCATATGAGAACCAACAAAAAGTTCTCTGTATCTATGAGTATGTTTCTGTTATGCTTGCTCATTTTGTTTGTAGATTCAGTTGTTGATAGGTATGTATTTATTACCATTTTATTATTCTTTTTTTTTTTATCTTCTTCAAGAAGATCCATAAGCATTTCATGTAATATTGGTTTGGTGGTGATGAACTTCTTTAGCTTTTTCTTGTCTGGGAAACTTGATATGGTCATTGACTCTAAATGGTAGCTTTGCAGGATAGAGTAATCTTGGTTGTAGGTCCTTGCTTTTCATCACTTTGAATATTTCTTGCAACCTCTTTCTGGCCTGCAAAGTTTCTTTTGAGAAATAAGCTGACAGCCTTATGGGAGCTCTATTGTAGGTAATGAACTGCTTCTCTCTTGCTGCTTTTAAGATTCTCTCTTTGTCTTTAACCTTTGGCATTTTGATGATGATGTGTCTTGATTTGGACCTCTTTGGGTTCCTCTTGTTTGGGACTCTCTGTGCTTCTGGACTTGTATGTCTGTTTCCTTCACTAAGTTAGGGAAGTTTTCTGTCATTATTTTTTTTTAAGTTTTTCATTTCTTGTCCTCTCTGTTCTTCTGGTACTCCCATGATGCGAATGTTGGTATACTTGAAGTTGTCCCACAGGCTCCTTATACTATCCTCATTGTTTTGGATTTTTTTTGTTCTGATTGGGTGTTTTTTGCTTCCTCATATTTTAAATTGATGGTTTCCTTCTTGGATTTACCTACTCTACCATTGAATCTGTGTAAATTATTCTTTATTTTAGTTAGTGAATCCTTCATTTCTGACTGATCCTTTTTTATGCTCTTGAGGCCCTCACTGAGTTCACTGAGCATCCTTATACGCATTGTTTTGAACTCTGCATCTGTTAGATTGCTTATCTTCATTCCATTTAGTTTTTTTCCTGGAGTTTTGTTTTTTTTTCTTTCATTTGGGACATGTTTCTTTGTCTCCTCATTTTGGCTGCTTCCCTGTGTTTGTTTCTATGTATTAGGTAGGGTTGCTATGTCTCCTGGGCTTTCTAGGATGGCCTATTGTAGAGGGTGTCCCGTAGGGTCCAGCGGCACAGCCTCCCTGGTAACACACTGGGTCCTTGAGGTACACCCTTTCTGTGGACTTTACACCCTTCTGTTGTAATTGAGTCTTGATTGCTTTGGCACAGCAATGGGAGGGTTTTACTCAGGCTGATCAGGTGCAAGGATGGGCTGTGCCCACTATCCATAGACCTCTGACTACCTTGCATGATCAGCTGTGCAGGGGCCCACCACCCAGAGCAAGACTTACTTCAGCAGGGCTCTGGTACCCTCTTAGTCTGTTCCTTGAGTATGTCACTTATGGAGGTGGTTGAGTGGTGGTTCTTCAACATAGTCTGAAGCTGTCCACTGGGTGTGCTGAGAGTAGAAATTTTTAATTTTAATGAAGTCCAGCTTATCAGTTCTTTCTTTCATGGATCATGTCTTTGGTTGTCTTACCTAAAAAGTCATTTAGGCCCTGGCGGCTTGGCTCAGCTGTTAAAGCATCAGCCTGTGGTCCAGAGAGACCTGGGTTCAGTTCCCGATAAGGTCTTATATCTCAGTTGCAGTTTGTCCCCGGCCCTGGTTGGGTCGTACAGGTGGCAGCCACTTGATGTGTACCTTTCACGTTGATATTTCTATCTCTCTCTCTCTCTCTCTCTCTCTCTTCCTCTTTCTCCCTCCCACTCTATCTGAACAAAAAATGAAAAAAATGTCCTCGGGTGAGGATTAAAAAAAAAAAAGTCATCTAGGTTTTCTGCTATGTTATCTTCTACTACTTTTATACTGTTGACTTTTACATTTAAGTCAGTGATCCATTTGGGGTTTTTTTGTGAAGGGTGTAAGGTCTGTCCAGATTAATTTTTTTGCATGTGGCTGTCCAGTTGTTCCAGCACCATTTGTTGAAAAGGCTATCTTTTCTTCATTGTATATATTGCCTCGGCTCCTTTGTCAGAGATCAATTGACTATATTCACATGGGTTTATTTCTGGGGCTTTCTATTCTATTCTGTTTGTCTTTTCTTTCTGCAATAACCACACTGTTTTGAGTCCTGTAGCTTTATAGGAAGTCTTGAAGTGAGGTAATGTCAGTTCTCCATTTTGTTCTCCTCCTTCGGGTATTTGTCTCTTCATAAAAATTTAAGAATCAATTTGTCAATATCCACAAAATAATTTGCCAGGATTGTGGTTGAATTGCATTGAATCTACAGATCAAGTTGAAATGAACTAACATCTTTACATTATTAAGTTTTCCTATCAATGAACATCGAATATTGCTACATTTATTTAGTTTTTTATAAACTTTAATCCATTTTATAGTCTTTAGAAGGCACTTTTCTAAGTCACTTAAGTATTTTGCAATTTTCTTGTCCTCTTGGATTCATTTGCTATTATATGTGTTCCTTTTTATATGTGCCTTTCTAAGCGCTTTTAAATATTATGATACCCAGCCAAATGTGATTTCTGGTATTGCATAGCAAAATTATTCCCAGAGTTAAATTACACCACCTATCTACATAGTTCACATCCATAGTACAATACGACTGCTTTCTCAGAAATTAGGGCAAAGTTTTTCTAACCATATAAAGGAAATACAAGAGCTTGTGTCATCTCTGTTCTCATAGAACTTAGGTCTATTTAAGAAATCAGAATTAAACATGAAAAGTAAGACATTTAGATAATAATTCTAGTTTTAGGTCATAGAAGAGGATGTGATAACATATATTAATTGTACATACTTTGGAATTTAAAGAAAGGAGTGGTTTATATTAGCAAGTTAGGGAAAACTTTATTGGGCTCATGAAATTTGAACTTAGTCCTGAAATATGAGTAAATTTTGGATCAAGAGAGATATTAATTCAGTGTCTTGTGGGTGAATTTCATATTACTTTGTCCCTTAATTTTTTTCTTAAAAAAATCTTTATATGAACTGTATTCTTTTAATTGTATTTTCTATCCAATGTAGTTATATTAAACACATGAATGTGTGACATATCAATTACCTTTAATTTTCTATTTCTGTGTTTTTGTCACAGGTATCCTGATTTTCAGCTGCTACAGGAGGGACAAAGGTATGGTTGGATCAGTATCACTTACCTTCTATGTATTCATGTTAATAGAAACATTAAGAGTAAACCAGGTGATATGAGCTCTTAGACTTCCTGTGCTGATGCATTATGTAAGTGCTCATTCTAGCCCACACAAAGAAATATTTGCCTTGTACAGCTTTTTCTTTTGTGATAGTATGATTTATTGTTCAGCTGTTTCTACCAAGAAAGTCTAATTGAACCTGTTGAAATGTGACACAAACACAGCTTCCATCTGAGATACTGTGCTGCTTTGTCAACTAGAGTGTGCCAATTAATATTTGTTGAAAGGTTTTTGTACTCATATTTTATAGGATTTCAAAACATTAATGTATCTGTTATTTAATTATTTGAATGAGTGTCTAAAGCATTAATAGAGATTCCAAGTTGTGATTTTTTTTTTTTTTCCTTCAACTCCCCTCATAGTGTTGCTTGCCCAACTATAATTATCTCTCAAAACAGGTCTTTTTTTCTCCTGGAATAAATTTTCCTGTTTATTAGTTACTACCTTAGCTACAGGGACTTGAACACAAGTGAGAGATACTGATTTATTGATGTATATCTTTAATTTATAGCTCAAAATAGTATAGAAAAACATAATACCTTCAAATGTCAAAGGACAGTATAAAATATATGTAATTTTAGTTGTTCTTTTTTGTTTTTTAATTACAAGAAACAAGTTCCATGACAATATAGGCTAGATTCTAATTAACAAATGATATCTTATATGGAATAGATTTGTCATCTTTTTTTTATTCCCATCCATAACCTTACTTTCAACTCTTTGTTTTTCTTCTGTTATACTCCCCACCCTCACATACTTTTTAAAAAACTGCTGTGTTATTTTACTTCATTATATTTTTTTAAATCACTTCTAAAAATTTAATAGCCTTTTGGGGTCCCTGGCCGGTTTTGCTCTGTGGTTAGAGATGTCACCTTCCGGACTGAAGAGTCATGGGTTTGATTCCCTGTCAAGGGCACATCCCTGGGTTGCAGGTTTGATCCCTAGCCCTGGTCGGGGTGCATGTACGAGGCGACCAATCGATGTTTCTCTGACATCGATGTTTCTCTCTCTCTCTCACTCCCCCTCCCTTCCACTCTAAGAAAATCATTGAAAAAAATATCCTCAGATAAGGATAACCAAAATAAATAAAAATAAAAAATAATAGCTTTTGGGGGAGGAATTTTAGCTTTATAGAACAATTGCATGAAAAGTAGAGAGTTCACATGTATTCTTTCACTACACTCTATGTGCTTCTTGATCCAGAATCCTCTTCATCGGGATCTTTTCAAGTTCTTGTTGGTGCATTTGCTTAATAGTAACTGCCTACCTGTCCTTTTTAACCTCAAGTTTGTATGGACAAAGCTACTCTTTGTCTTCACTCTTTCATAATTCTTAATCTTTTTATTTTAATTAGATTTTTCTTTCCTTTATTGATATTTTAGAGAGAGAGGAAGTGAGGAGAGAGATAGAAACATCGATGAGAGAGAACATTGGCTGCCTCCTGCACGTCCCCCACTAGGGATCGGCTCCACCACCTGGGCATATGTCCTGAACGGGAATCGAACTGGCGACCTCTTGGTGCATGGATCGTTGCTCAACCACTGAGTCACACTGGCTGGACATAATTCTTAATCTTATTTAAACCTGAAAATTGAAGGAATATAGTCAAAGGGAAAACTGTTGTCTTTTATTGTTAGCGTTATATTGTAATTCTAGAGTTTCATATATAAATATTTTTCTTTTTTTCTTTCTTTTTTTTTTTTTTTTTTTTTATCCTCACCTGAGGACATTTTTCTATTTTTTGTTCAGGTAGAGTGGGAGGGAGAGAGAGAAACAGAGAGAGAGAGAGAAACATCGATATGAAAGGAACACATCGAGTGACTGCCACCCACACAACTGACCAGGGCCGGGGACAAACTGCAACCGAGGTACATGCCCTTAGCGGGAACCGAACCCGGGTCTCTCCGGACCGCAGGCCGACGCTCTAACCGCTGAGCCAAACCGGCCAGGGCTATATATAAATATTTTTCATTGATAAATGTTGATTTGCCAACTTTATTTTCTGCTGTGACTAACTTTCTTGTGTTTTTCATTCTTTGGAGTTTTCTGTATTACTATCAACCAGAGTTGGAGAATGTTTAAACATCTCTTTTTATCTTTCAAAACCTAAACAAAGTTCCTATAGTGTGTGTGTGTGTACATATTTATATCTATCTGTCTATCTATATCTATGTATCTATGTATCTATGTATCTATCTATCTATCTATCTATCTATATTTGTTTGTTTAGGAAACCAGTAATGAAGTATTCAAAAGAAAAGCTTTTTTAAAAAAGGATATGTGAAACAAGTAACAGAAATGGAGCAGGCAAAAATAATTCAGTAAGGTGAAATTATCGAGTGTTTTGTTGTTGTTATTCTCTTTTAACACTTTTAAAATAATTGGGGGAAAAGGACAAGGAAAGAAGAGGACTGTACCAAATAAATAAGATGTAAAGAAATTCCAGAATTACAGTTTTCTTCTGAAGTGTGTGTGCATGTGCTCACGCGTGTGTGTGCAGAGTTATATAAATAGGCTTTGCATAGGGAATAAAAATATCTACCTTGAAAGATACAAAGTATAAATACTGTGAGACATTCTTCTTTTCTGTTACAGTTTGTTTGTTTCTTTCCTTCTACAGTGGCCATTCTGGAGAAGAAGTACAATTATGCAGTAAGGCCATTAAAACATCAGATGTTGACAATTCTGGCCATTCTGAGAAGCAGTATGAATCTGGTTCTTCTAGCACTCATAGTGATAGTTGCAGTGATAATGAGCAAGACTTTGTTTCCTCCATTCTACCAGGAAACAGACCAAATGCAGCGGGTATAAGGCCACAGCTGCACAAAAAAAGCATCATGAAAAAGAAAGCTGGTCAAAAAGCTCACTTCAAGCAAGAGGACAAAGAACAGACAGTAATAGATGTTACTGAGCAGCTAGGCAATTGCAGATTAGATAATCAGGAGAAAGCTGCTGCTTGTGAACTTCCTTTACAGAAAGTAAATATTCAGATTGCTTCAAATAGTCCTTTTCGAGAAAAATTAGAAGCTTCAGAAATTCCTGAAAATAAATACAGTAGTTCACAAATAACTCTAGTAGGCATAAGTAAGAAAAGTGCTGAGCATTTTAAGAGGAAATTTGCCAAATCCATCCAAGTTTCTAGGTCAGCTTCTAGTTCAGTGCAGGTGTGTCCTGAAGTTGCAAAGGCAAACTTACTTAAAGTTCTGAAGGAGACTTTGATTGAGTGGAAGACAAAAGAAACGTTGAGGTTTTTGTATGGCCAGAATTATGATTCTATGTGTCTGAAATCCTCTTCAGCCCCTCTGATTAAAGAAGAACTTGATGAAGATGACATAAACTCTGACCCAGATAGTCATTCCCCTGCCTTGAGGAAATCTCAGAACAGCTTGGACGAGTCTTTGCCTTTTAGGGCCTCAGATACAGCCATTAAACCACTGCCAAATTATGAGAGCTTGAAAAAAGAAACTGAAACATTAAACCTAAGGATCAGAGAGTTTTATAGAGGACAATATGTTTTAAATGAAGAAAGCACCAAATTACAAGATTCAGAAGAGGTATGTCTTAATGATGATGTGTTTTCCATGTTGCAAATCATAGCAAATCTTGTAGCAGAAAGAAAAATACTAAAGACATTATTGTTAAATTTTCAGAGGACTTCTTTAGTAGGTCAGTTTTTTCGTTTAAAATGCCATCTCTGGTATTGGTGTTACTATTTCCAAATAAGTTGAAGTTTGCCCCTGAAAATTTTTATAAATGTGGAACATTTTTCTGTAATGTAGAAATAGCCTCAAATTGTGGGACAGAATTTTCTTTAACCCTAATTCTTCAAATAATATGTAGAACCTCTGAAGAGGCATGTTTTTTCTTCATTGGTATCTATTCTTTCAGACTTCTACATGGGGTGGGTGGGTATCTTTGTGTTTTATTTCCATTGGGACTGAGTAGAGTAGACTTACTAGTTGAATGGTAAAGTATTTGTATAATATTTGGCAAGCATGCTGATTTAAAATATTATAAATGAAAATAATATAGTAAAGGAGACATTGGGAAATAATAGATATAGAAAAAAATGGGAAGAGCACATTCAAGTAAGACCTAGATTTGAATATCTGCTCTGTCATTTTCTAGCTGTATGAAAAGTTAGTTTCTTGAATCCAATTGCTTATCTAAAAATGAGACCATAAATACCTTGCCTTCCTCAATCATTATGAGTTTTAAAGATAATATATATAACACATTTATCACAGTACTTGACATATTATCAGTACTCAGTAAATAGTAATTATATGAAGAGACTGAATGTGTACCACTGAGGTTTAGGGAGATTTTTCAGTATTTCTAATACCCAGCTTTGATTAATTTGTATGTAGTTTGAGAAATTAAGTCATTTGACATGAAGAGGAGTAGGCAATAACCTGGTTTTTACCACAAAACTTTGTTACTAAAAATTTCTCAGTAAATGTGGCTGTAAATTTACGAACATATTTTGAAATTCAGAAAGCAGGTAAAAATGGAAATAACAGTAAAAAATTAGAAATTTCTTATATTTCTACAAAATATTGCCTAACTCGGTACTGTATTTGAAATCACTTCAGCTGTATTATTAGACAGCATCCATAACTTTTATATTAAGCTTGGAGAAACACTGATTTATATCAGGTGCATAAACCTACTTTAGTATATAGCTTGCTTTACCTTTTTTTGTGCTTGTAAGTCTTAAGAAGGAAAAATTAATCCCTGAAATTTGATTGCTCCTCTGTTGCATAATGTTTTGGAGCTTTTTCATTGAAGTATAATATAGTGCTATAGCTCATTGAATTATCACAAATGAGCGCTACCCAGGCCAAGAAATTTGAATAAAGAACCCCACTATATCTCCTCCTAGTCATTAACCTCTTTCCAAAATGAATGACTATTAGAATCACTGAAACGTTTTGCCAGTTTTAAACTGTATGTAAATAGATGTACACAGTATATATTCTTCGCTATCCAATTTAGTTCCTGCAGCATTATGATTATGAATCATTTTTGTTGTTCGTAAATCATTTGTGTTGTTATAGGCATAACTCCAGTTTTATTATTTTACTGCTGCATAGTATTCCATTATAGAAATGTACCACAATTTATTTGTATTAATAAGCATTTAGGCTGTTTCAGTTTGGGGCTATTATGAACTGCTGGTATGAACTTATTTTATTTTATTTTATTTATTTTTATTTTTATTTTTATTTTATTGTTTTATCCTCACCCGAGGACAGTTTTGCATTATCTTGGGATAGAGCAGGAGAGGGAGAGGGGGGAAGAGAGAGAGAGAAACATCGATGTGAGAGAGAGACTCATCCACTGGTCGCCACCCACACAATCCCAACTGGTGCTGGGGACAAACTGCAACCGAGGTTTGTGCCCTTAGCGGGAACCGAACCTGGGACTCTCTGGTTCATGGGCCTACAGACACTCTAACCGCTAAGCCAAACTGGCCAGGGCTGGTATGAACTTTTTATATATGTCTCTCCTAATGTGCAGGCATTTCTGTTGGTTATATATCTAGGACTGGAATTTCTGGGTCATAAGATATGAGTATATGGAACAATACTCAATAATGACAAATGGTTTTCCAGAATGGCTATGGCAGTTTATATGATACTACCACTATGAGAGTTTCCATGACTCCACACACTCACACTACTTAGTGTTGTTAGTTTTCACCATTCTGGTGGTATTGCTTTTTGGTTACATTGCTCTGATGATTAATGTGTTGAGCACTGTTTATCTGCTTATTGACCATTTGGAAAGTCTCTTCTGAAGTGCTTGTTTGAGTTTTTTTTCCATTTACCTATTGAATATATCTAGGTTTTTTTTTTTTAATTATTAATTTATTTTTGTTACAGATGTTTCACCTTTTTTTCCCCATTGACACCCTCCTCCCCATCCCCCCCCCCCGCACCCCATACCCAGCTTTGTTGTCTATGTCCATTGGTTATGCACATATGCATGAAAGTTCTGTGGTTTATCTCTTCCCTCCCCCCACCACCCCCTCTTCTGAGGGTTGTCAGTCTGTACCCTACTTCCACACCTGTGGGTCTACCCAATTCCTCAGACTGTTATGTTTATTATGTTCCACAAATAAGTGAGATCATGTGATATTTGTCTTTCTCTGCTTGGCTTGTTTTGCTTAGGATAATACTTTACAGGTCCCTCCATGTCATCGCAAAGGCTAAGAGATCTTTCTTTCTTACAGCTGCATAGTACTCCATTGTGTATATGTACCACAGATTTTTTATCCATTCACTACTGATGGACACTTGGGCTGTATCCAGATCTTAGCTATTGTAAATAGTGCTGCTATAAAAATGGGGGTACATATATTCTTTCTGATTGGTATTTCAGGCTTCTTAGGGTATATTCCTAGAAGTGGGATCACTGGGTCAAATGGCAATTCAATTTTTAATTTTTTGAGGTAACACCGTGTTGTTTTCCATAGTGCCTGCACCAGTCTACATTCCCACCAGCAGTGTACTAGAGTCCCCTTTTCTCCACACCCATGCCAACGCTTGTTGTTTGATGGCAGCCATTCTGACAGGTGTGAGGTGATACCTCATTGTTGTTTTAATTTGCATCTCTCTGATGATTAGTGATGTCGAGCATTTCTTCATATGTCTCTTGGCCATTTGTATATCCTGTTTGGAGAGGTGTCTATTTAGCTCCTCTGCCCATTTTTTAATTGGGTTCTTTGTCTTCCTTTTGTTGAGTTGTATGAGTACTCTATATATTTTGGAAATTAACCTCTTATCTGATATATCATTGGCAATTATGCTCTCCCATACAGTGGGTTGCCTTTCCATTTTGATGATTGTATCTTCTGCTGTGCAGAAGCTTTTTAGTTTGATGTACTCTCATGTGTTCGTTTTCTCCTTTGTTTCTGTTGCCTTAGGTGATGTATCAGTGAAAATTCTGCTGCATATGATGTCTGAAATTTTGTTGCCTACATTTTCTTCTAGGATTTTTATGGATTCATGAGTCACATTTAAGTCTTTTATCCATTTTGAGTTTATTTTTGTGTATGGTGTAAGTTGATGGTCTAGTTTTATTTTTTTGCATGTAGCTGTCCAATTTTCCCTACACCATTTATTAAAGAGGCTGTCTTTACTTCATTGTATGTTCTTGCCTCCTTTGTCAAATATTAATTGTGCATAATGTCTTGGGTCCATTTCTGGGTTCTCTATTCTGTTCCACTGGTCTATATGCCTGTTCTTGTGCCAGTACCAGGCTGTTTTGATTATAGTAGCTTTGTAGTATAATCTGATATCCAGTACTGTGATCCCACCTACTTTGTCCTTCTTTTTCAAGATTGCTGTGGCCATTCTGGGTCTTTTGGTTCCACATGAACTTTTGAAGTATTTGTTTAGTTCTGTGAAATATGTCGTTGGTATTTTGATGGGGATTGCATTGAATCTATAGATTGATTTGGGTAGTATGGACATTTTACTGATGTTAATTCTTCCAATCCATTAACAAGGTATATACTTCCACTTTTTATGTCTTCCTCTATTTCTTTTTTCAATGTCCTGTAGTTTTCTGCAAAGAGGTCCTTTACTTCTTTGGTTAAGTTTATTCCTAGGTATCTTAATTTTTTTTTGCCACAGTGGTAAATGGGATTCTTTTCTTAGTTTCTCTTTCTGTGAGTTCATCATTGGTGTATAAGAATGTTGTTGATTTCTTGATGTTAATTTTGTATCCTGCTACTTTGCCAAATTCATGTATTAAGTCTAGTAGATTTTTCTTTTTTTTTTTAATGAATTTTTATTTATTTTTTTGTTACAGATATTTTACCTTTTTACCCCATTGGCACCCCCCACCCTACCCCCCCTCCACCCTGTCCCTTAGTTGTCCATGTCCATTGGTCATGCATACATGCATATAAGTTCTGTGGTTTATCTCTTCCCACCCCCCCACCCTCCATCCCATCTTCTGAGGGATGTCAGTCTGTGCCCTACTTCCATGTGTCTGGGTCTACTGTATTCCTCAGACTGTTATGTTCATTATATTCCGTATATAAGTGAGATCATGTGGTATTTGTCTTTTTCTGCTTGGCTTCTTTCACTTAGGATAATACTTTCCAGGTCCCTCCATGTGGTCTCAAAGGATAAGAGATCTTTCTTTCTTACCGCTGCATAGTACTCCATTGTGTATATGTACCACAGCTTTTTGATCCATTCGTCTACTGGTGGACACTTGGGCTGTTTCCAGATCTTAGCTATTGTAAATAGTGCTGCTATGAACATGGGGGTACATATATTCTTCCTGATTGGTGTTTCAGGCTTCTTAGGGTATATTCCCAGCAGTGGGATCACTGGGTCAAATGGAAGTTCAATTTTTAATTTTTTGAGGTAGCACCATATTGTTTTCCATAGCGGCTGCACCAGTCTGCATTCCCACCAGCAGTGTATTAGAGTCCCCTTTTCTCCACACCCTCGCCAACACTTGTTGTTTGATGATTTGTTGATGGCAGCCATTCTGACAGGTGTGAGGTGATACCTCATTGTTGTTTTAATTT